ATTGGCCATGTAGTGCTTTGTCTTCCCATGCCTCTATTCTGTTCTTCATTTGGTCTTTCTTGTAGGCCAGTTTGGTCTCTCCAGTAGTCAGTAAGCCTTCCTGATATACTAATTTCAGTGCATCTTCATCATTGTTCTTCAGATATTCTTCCAAAGCCATTTTTTCGTCTTCAACCATCTGATGTACTTGTAGCATTCCACGCCCACCTATTTGCCTTTGTAGATGGTCTGTCAATGTCACTGCGTGGATGAAGGGACTGATTCATTGTCATTATTTTTCTGGTCTTCCTATCCATTGCTTTTAGTTCTGCTTGAGTCCAGGCCACTATTCCAGCTGGGTACCTAATGACTGGAATTGCCCAGGTGTTGATGCCTTTATGGTTATTTCCTCCATTGAGTTTGGATTTAAGATTCTTCACTCTCTATGTATTCACCTCTAATCTTTTTTGGTTCAGTGTGCTTTGATGTTGTCAGCTTGAAGGATACCCAAGTATTTGTAGTACTCTTCCTCATCCAGACTCTTAATGTTATTTTCGTGGGGCATCTTGATTCCTTCAGTTTTCATTATTTTTCCTTGTTTGATAGTAAGTGTGGCTATTATTATTATTATTATTATTACTACTACTACTACTACTACTACTACTACTACTACTACTACTACTACATCTACTATTGATATGTGACACCCTACTTGTGATTTTCAATGGCAAAAAAAACACCTTGCCCATTCTTTTAAGTATCCCATTTTCTTCTCTCTGGTAAAACGAGGCCTCCCACCCACCTCTCTTCAGTGGAACAAATCTTCCCTTCTCCTCTGATGCTCCCTTACCTGTCTTTAGGAATTCAAAGAACAAGAAGATTTGCAGCAGAAATTGCATGGCTTGGGTGATTCCACACATGCGTGTATTTGTCCAGAAACCTTTTCTGCCTTGCGGTAAACTCTCCAAAGGAAAAGAATCTTGAGGAGCAAAGGAAAAAATAAGGGTGAAGGAGTTACTACAGGAACTCTTGAATAACCCGGTAACTTATCATAGACCTCAGGGAAAAGTTCATTCTGTGTCTGCATTTGGAGCCAGAATTTGCACTGCTAATCAAGGAGAATGTTGAGTAAGTTGTGCCTGATTTTAGGACCCCGTTTTGTCATGGGTGCTGAACGAATCGCGGCAGTCATTAAGTGAATCCATCTTCCCTTGTTGATTTTGTTTGCTGAAAGCCAGTTGGGAATTTTGCAATCACACGACCCCGGGATGCTGGAACCATCATAAATACATGCCTGTTGTGAAGTGCTTGAATTGTGATCACATGACTATGGGGATGCTGCAGTGGGGGTAAGTGTGAGGACTGCCCATAAATCACTTTTTTTCAGTGCCATTATAACTTTAAATGGTCACTAAACAAATGGTTGGAAGCCAAGGAGTACCTCTATCTAACTTCTCGTTTTCAAAGCAAAACAGCCAGCTTTCATCAAATGTGGAAGAGGCAGAGAAGATGTGAGCAAAAGAGAGAAGTCCTGTCCTTCCTTCCTTCCTTCCTTCCTTCCTTCCTTCCTTCCTTCCTTCCTTCCTTCCTTCCTTCCTTCCTTCCTTTCCTTCCTTCCTTCCTTCCTTCCTTCCTTCCTTCCTTCCTTCTTTCCTTCCTTTCCCTCCCTCTTTCTTTCTTTCTTTTTTCTTTTTCTTTTTTTCTTCTTTCTTCTTTCTTCTTTCTTTTTTTCTTGGTGGCACAGTGGTTAGAATGCAGCATTGCAGGCTAATTCTGCCCACTGCCAGCAGTTCGATCCTGACTGGCTCAAGGTTGATTCAGCCTTCCATCCTTCCGAGGTCGGTAAAATGGGGACCCAGATTGTTGGGGGCAAATATGCTGACTCTGTAAACTGCTTAAAGAAGGCAGTAAAACACTGTGAAGCAGTATATAAGTCTAAGTGCTATTCCTTGCTTGCTTGCTTTTTTCTTTCTTTCTCTTTCTTTCTTTCTTTCTTTCTTTCTTTCTTTCTTTCTCTTTCTTTCTTTCTTTCTTTCTTTCCTTCCTTCCTTCCTTTCTTTCTCAGTAGGATGGTAAATGATAAAAATGGGATAAAGCTTCAATCAGATGATCCTGGCCATCATCTTTACTTGACATACTCCCCCCCCCATTATTGCCTCAATAAAGACAAACTGCAAAAACAAGGGAAATGCTCCTAAAAATGTAATGCAAACTATGTATTATTCAAAGGAGATTGATTTACAACATCAGGGTACAGTGGGCAAAAATAAATAAATAAATAAAAATTGGGGAAACCAACTGCAGGTGCTCAGGGAAATATGCCTTTGTATTGAGGCATTGTCTGAAAAACTTCAGCAGGTCTGTAGAACTGAGGAATGACGAGAAACCGTGTAACAGATTTGAAGCAGGATGGCCTTCAGCTCCAAACAACCAAATAAGTACTGAAATTGTCCTCCACTTGAGGAGGAATGTGAAATGGAGCCAGTCTGATGATGAATGTTTGCCGAGGCCAAGTGATGTTACACAACTATGGCTTGAAGTGGATCTCTGTGCTTCTAAACAAAGTTAGGTACAATCTTCAATCTTCACACTATCCGTGAGTCCTAGAATGCAAGCATTATTTTCCTTGTCTCTCACCTCAAAGCAAATATGTTTTGCGTGAAGTTTGAGAAATGATGTCTCTTGGTTATGCTTCTCTAATGTGTGTGTGTGTGTGTGTGTGTTTGTATCCTGGCTAGGGCTGAGCGAAAGTAATTGGCTTTGTGTCTAAAGCAGGACTAGAACTCAGAGTCTCCTGGTTTATAGCCTCCTTAACAACTACACCAAACTGACGAACATTATATTCTGGCCTGCTAAGTCCCCTTGTGCTTAAATGACCTGATATAACTTGGAACAATGTCTTCTTCCTATTACAGTAGCCACCTGCGTTAACTGAGAGAGCTTTAAAATTCTTGCCTATTATGGTAGACATGAGATCAGACATGTCAAATCCGCAACGTCACGTGATGTCATGCAACATATCGGAGCTTTTTCCCCATTGCCAGCGTGGTTTTGTTGTGATGCATCAGGCCCGGGGGCCGGCAGTTTGCCCCCCCCCCCGCATTAGATCCTTAAAAAAAAACTTTTTTATCCTACCTTTCCTTTTTTTTTTATCAATAAGTCAAGGCCTGAACATACCTAATATTCCTTCCTCCTCCTGTTTTTCCCACAACAATCCTGTGAGGTGAATTGGGGAGAGAGGGAGAGAGAGGGGGGGAGGGGGGCTGGCCCAAAGATACCCAAACAGCTTTAACGCCTAAGGTGGGTGAAATTCATGCCAGGAGTTTAGACTGGGTTGAATCGAATGGATGCTTTCTCAGGCCCCTATTGGAAACCAGGTTCTAGATCCAAGGTCTGGGTGATTTTATACCTTACCAAAAGAGTTCTAGATTGAGAGAGACAGGAAAAATTTGTGTAATTGTTCGCTTTTCCGTCTTGCCAGCAGTGAAATGAACCTAAGTTAATTGCATTGGTTCAGGCTCCCACTTCCAGTAACTGCCATCCCAGATGCTAAGATTCTGTTTTTTTCTTAAAGCGAAATTACCTCCATCCAATCCTCCACAAGGATTGGGTTCCTTGTGCTGGAACCCAAAGGAAGCTATTAGAGGGAAGAGATTTGACTCAATCTGAGCTCTCTTTTGCAAGACAGACCTCCTCTCTCTTTAAAAAGTCACAAGCTTCCTCTCCTGTGTGGGCCTTGTGTTGCGTTTGAACGTATGGCTCGCTCTGTCTTCAGTTTTACACTCCTCTTTCTCATGTGTTTTTAAAACCCCATTCTGTTGGGGCAGGTTTCTTCAAACTTGTCCCTTTTATGAGTTGTGGACTTCAACTCCCAGAATTCCTCAGCCAGCAACACTAGCTCTAGGAGTTGAAGTCCACAACTCATAAAAGGGACAAGTTTGAAGACCCTGTGTTGGGGGAACAGTGTATGAACACCTAGTTTAGGTGTTCCTAACTGCCATCACAGGTGGTCCTTGAACCATAATTGAGTCTAAAATATCTCTTGCTAAACAAGACAGTTGTTAACTGACTTTTGCTCCATTTTATGACCTTTCTTGCTACAGTTGTTAAGTGGATCACTGAAGTTGTTAAGTTAGTAGCACGGCTGTTAAGTGAATCTGGTTTCCCCATTGACTTTTCTTGTCAGGAGGTCCCAAAAGGGGATCCCATGGCCCCAAAACTGCCAAAATATGAACCAGGTGGCAAGCATCTGAATTTTGATCCCTGTGACCATGAGGATGCTGCAGTGGTCATACCTGTGAAAAACAATCCTCTTTTTTCAGTGCTGTGGTAACTTCAAACAGTCACTAAATGAACTGTCATAAGTCAAGGACCACCTGTACTGTGAGGAATGGGCAGGAACTGAAAACTAGGTCGGCCATATTATTTTGGCAATTGAGGTGAGTGGGTAACATCCTCAATATAAGGGGGAAAAGGTAAAAAAAAAAAAAGAGGGAAAAAGTTAAAATCCGCTGGTCACCAAAAATACATCATTACCCATTTAACTGACCCAAACATTACTTTTTATTCAAACATAACAATGGACAAAATAAGCAGCCTATCTGTATTTGATTTTTGTGTACATTTAACTTTTCAAAGATTTGTTTGGGCTGGAAGCTGGAAGATTGCAACTTTAACCGATGGGAAAGAGCTGAAACCAAAGTCAGCTGTTCAGGGAGAAAAATCAAAAGATTTTCTTCGTTTTAGCATAAGATGCAGCTTGGAATCCAGCAGCGGGCGGCTTCTGCTGCTTCTCATCCAAAGGCCCTGAACGAAAGACTTAGTTGACTGAGAATAAGAGGTGAAACTGTCTCAGCAGGACGATCTGGATGGATTACTGTGATACTTGCGACAAATGGACTTTCAGCCTTGAAATGAAGCTTGAATTTCTACCACGAGCCTCCACCACCGTATTGAGAGGCCAGGTAGATTGCAGAACAAAGACACACAATCTAAACATTTGGCAGGCTGGGGAGACAATCGCATGGATGTGAGTATTGTGTCAACATTTATTGAAGCCTTAATATCCAACTTCACCAATGGATCTGTAAATCGATGCCAGATCTTATTTCAATCTCACGTTTCTTTGACTTGCTCAAAATAAAAAGAAAATCAAAATATCTCCAAATGTGTTTTTTTCAATAGGCACTAAAAAAGAGCAGCTTAATTGGCAGAAGAGCCAGGAGGAAAACTTCAAGAGAGGAACAGCTGCTATCGCTCGTGGCTTCTTTGCAGGTTACATCCTGGAGCATGGAATTTCCAACAAGGGACCCTTTGTAGGTTTTTAGTATATTACAGACAGCTTCTGTGGTACATCCTTTTACGGGTCTCTTCACACCATCTAGAAAAGAAAATCAAAAGTAAGTCATTTAGATAAACGTGGCACAAATTCCATCTGATTATTTTGTAGTGTTAATCTAAATGTTTGCATTCAAAATCATTTACCCATGGTAGCCAACTTGGAGGTGGAAAAAAGAATAAACAGGGAGGGAGGAAAGGAAGGAAGGAAGGAAGGAAGGAAGGAAGGAAGGAAGGAAGGAAGGAAGGAAGGAAGGAAGGAAGGAAGGAAAAAGATGGGAGGAAGGAAGGAGATGGGAGGGATAGGAGGTAGAGGGGAGGGGCGGAGGAAGGAAGGAAACGATGGGGAGAGGGAGGGGAGGAGGAAGGAAAGAAGAAGGAAGGAGACGGGAGGGAGGGAGGAAGGAAGGAGAAAGAAGAAGGGCAAGGAAGGAAGGAAGGAAGGAAGGAAAAAGATGGGATGAGGGAAGGAGGGAAGGGGGGAGGAAAGAGTAGGAAGGAAGGAGAGTGAGGGAGGAAGGGAGGAAGGACGGAAGGAAGGAAGGTAAGGAAGGAAGGAAGGAAGGAAGGAAGGAATGAAAAGAGGGAAAGGGAGGGAAGGAAGGTGAGGGAGGAAAGAAGGAAGGAGATGGGAGGGATGGAACGGGAGGGAGGGAGGAAGGAAAGAAAAGTAAAAGGAAGGAAGGAAGGAAGGAAGGAAGGAAGGAAAAAGATGGGAGGGAAGGGAGGGAGGGAGGAAAGAAGGAAGGAAGGAGATGGGAGGGAGGAAGGGAGGAAGGAAGGAAGGAAGGAATGAAGGAAGGAAGGAGATGGGAGGGAGGGAGGAAAAAGATGGGAGGGAGGGAGCGAGGGAGGAAGGAAGGAAAAAGATGGGAGGGAAGGGAGGGAGGGAGGAAAGAAGGAAGGAAGGAGATGGGAGCGAGGAAGGGAGGAAGGAGAGGAAAGGTGAAGATAGGAAGGAAGGAGATGGGAGGAGGGAGGTGGAAAAACTAGTGAGAGGAGGGAGGGAGCGAGGGAGAAGGAAGTGGAAAAAAGATGGGAGGGAGGGAAGGGGAGGGAGGGAGGGAGGGAGGGAGGGAGGGAGGGAAGGAGGAAGGAAGGAAGGAAGGAAGGAAGGAAGGAAGGAAGGAAGGAAGGAAGGAAGGAAGGAAGGAAGGAAGGAAAAAGATGGGAGGGAGGGGAGGGAGGGAGGAAAGAAGGAAGGAAGGAAGGAAAAAGATGGGAGGGAGGGAGGGAGGGAAGGAAGGGAAGGGAGGGAGGGAGGAAGGAAGGAATTTATGGTTCCAAAAGGATATGGCATTGTCCACTTTTATAATATTCGACATATTTAACATCAATACGTCAAATTCTAGGAGAATGAATGGTTCATCATTAAAAAAACCTGTCCTAATCAACACCATGATTTACTTATTTCTGAGCTCTGATGATTCCCAGTCTTTGTGGTTAAGACCACCAATAACTTCAGAGCAGAGAGGGTTTTTCCCATCAGAATTATAAATACCTTTAAGAATGGAAGATGCAAAACAATGTGTTGCAGATCCAGTACATTCCAGAGTAACATCATCTGAACAGGTACCTGTCTCTAAAGAGCAGACTGGACAATATTTCTTATTGATGGTGGTGTTTAATGCAGGCACTGCAAAGTGAAACAGAGGCAGGAAGCTGAGATAGGTTACTACAGACAAGCTACTACGGACACACAAACAGCTATGCCATTCAGAGACTTCATATTAATGACTATCTGATCAAATCATGTTTGGGATCGGAAACGAAATTTGGACGAGAAACTGCCAGGAAATCCAGGATTATAGAATTGACTTTTTGGAAGTCAAAACAGATCCAAGAAGATGGCAACAGCAAACCATCTATTCTTTTATTTTATTTAAAAAAAAAAAACTTCCTAATAATTAGTCCCATCCAAATCTTAACCAGGCCCAACTCTGCTTAGCTTCGGACCCAAATAAAGTTACCCAGGTGTTGTCTCCTATGTAAGGCAAGCTACTAATAAAACAGGGGTATTCAACGCTACAGACACTTATTCTTAACCACAATGGGACACAATGATAAATGTGTGTCTTCTTGCAGGAGTTGCAAAGTGATGTTGCACACCAGTCAAGCCCCTTACACCAGCAGATTTGGGCCAGGCATTTTTATTACATCAAAACTACGGATTACAGAAACTTGGAAACTAGACACTGTATGTCAGGGGTGTCAAACTGCCGGCCCGTGGGCTGGATGCATCATGGCAAAACCGCGCCCACCCCATCGCTGGCGATGGCAAAAAAAGTCACGCTACATTGCGACATGTCATCTGACATTGTGAGTTTGACACCCCTGCAGTATGTGGTCCTTAGCTTCCATTTTGCCTCAAGGCAGAGTTTCCCAATTGCCTTGATCTTCTTTCTAACCAAACCCTGGTTTAATAGAGAAGATGCAAGCTACTGAGTAGTTGATATTTTTAGAAACTATTCACCTTTCTTGTTCTGCAATAGTTTGGAAATGGACTTTTCCTTCCCAGGTCACAGGGTTCCATACATGTTTTGACCCAACCCTCACCCCACATCACAGATGCCTGTATTCACCACCCTTTAATTTCTTGGCTGCAGGTGCATTACGCCAATACAGGTAGACCTTGACGGACAACATTTAGTCAGCGTTCAAAGTTACGTCACTGAAAAAAGTGACTTATGACTGTTTTTCACACATACGACTGTTGTAGCATCGCCACAATCACATGATCAAAATTTGGATGCTTGGCAACTAGTTCATATTTAAGTGGGTTGCATTATCCTGGTGTCTTGTGAGCTGTGGTGACACAGTGGTTAGAATTCAGTATTGCAGGCTGACTCTGCTCACTGCCAGGAGTTCGATCCTCACTGGCTCAAGGTTGACTCAGCCTTCCATCCTTCCGAAGTCGGTAAAATGAGGACCCAGATTGTTGGGGTCCATAGGCTGACTCTGTAAATTGCTTAGGGAGGGCTGTAAAGGGAAGGAATGGATGGAAGGAAGAAAGGAAAGGAAATGAGAAGGAAGGGAAACAAGGAGAAGGAAAGAAAATGAGAAGGAAGGAAGGAAGGAAGGAAGGAAGGAAGGAAGGAAGGAAGGAAGGAAGGAAGGAAGGAAGGGAAATGAGAAGGAAGGAAGGGAAACAAGGAGAAGGAAGGAAGCTATCGTGGCTCAGTGATTAGAATGCAGTATTGCAGGCTAACTCAGCTCACTGTTAGGAGTTCGATCCCAACCGGCTCAAGGTTGACTCAGCCTTCCATCCTTCCGAGGTGGGTAAAATGAGGACCCAGATTGTTGGGGTCCATAGGCTGACTCTGTAAACCGCTTAGACAAGGCTGTGAAGCCCTGTGAAGCGGGATATAAGTCTAAGCCCTATTGCCATTACTATGTGATCCCCTTTTGCGACCTTCTGACAAGCAAAGTCAATGGGGAAGCCAGATTCATTTAATCACCCTGTTACTAACTTAACAACCTCAGTGATTCACTTAACTACTAGAGCAAGAAAGGTCGTAAAACAGAGCAAAGCTCACTTAACAACTGTCTCACTTAGCAAAAGAAATGTTGCACTCAATTTGCAGTCGTTAAGTTGAGGATTCCCTGTAATCCTGGCCAAGAAGTTTAACATTTCTATTCCAGATCCACATCCCACTCTCTGAGAGCATAGCCAAAGTTGACCCATGGGCAAAAAAGGAGAAGACCTACTTTTTGTGGAGGGAGGGGTGCAGCCGTCAGTGTCGCAACAATCATACTGTACTCTTACGTAAACTCCTTTTTCATAAGACAGCTCGATAAACTGTTTCGTGCATTGGGAAGCCCCTATGCAAGCCATCACTACCTTGCTTTGTGTTTTTTCACCTGCAAAAATGGAAGGAGGGTGCATTGAGGTGAGTGTCAGCCCTGCAGAGAGTGACTGGACCAAGAAACAGACACCGTGAAAGATTAAACATTATACTTTTATTTAGATTGACTATGATGACATTTTTGTACAAGTCGGTTTGTTTCTCTCCTTCCTCTTGTCAAAGTTCCGACTGATGAACCCAAGCCAGCAAAAAACTCCAAGACATTCCAATCTCTTCATGTAAAATTTTATTGAGTACATCATTTTGGCACCTATGAAAGCAAAACCAACTCCGGCCAATCCCAGCCCAAACCCCTATGGTAAAAGAATAAAGTTTCCCCTCCCATTCATGGGTGGGTCACATTGCCTAATTAGCTGCAATTCTATTGTTATGAGAAAATGTCTCTGAGTCGAACCAGGCACCTGGGGAATCGTCCTTGATTCTCAGGGACTGTTTTCTTTATCTTTGTAGCCTGCATTCTAATTCTCCCATCCTCCCCCAGGTTCATTGGCAAGCTAAGGCATCTCTGTTATATTCACTGAATTAGAGGAGTGTCTGTTTGACAGAAGTGGGATTAACTAAAGATAAAGAAGATTCCATTTTACTTCATACGCAGGCTGATGAGATCTCCGAGGAATTAAAAAGGACTGTAATTAAACCACTTACAATCCTAAAACTAACAGAAATGGACAGACAAGCCCAACGAACTGAGAACTATGGTAGCTTGGATAAACAACTATTAGCCACAAAGTTGGACGTAATTGAGCCGGCCATTCAACAGTTTCAAACATGGAGATTTGACTTTTCCAAACAAAAGGGATTATTTACAAAGGAGCTAGGTCTCTAAAACAGAAAAGAAGACGTCTCTGTTTTATTCAAAGGATACTACAAGACATAAAAAATGACTTGTTTATTGATATAGTGGCATTGTTATGGAAACCTGTTTGGCATAAAAGGAAAGCTAGAATAAGATTTAAGAATGTGATTTAAGGTTTTATGCAATGAGTTTAAAACAGTGGTTCTCAACCTGTGGGTCGGGACCCCATTTGGGGTCGAACGAACATTTCACGGGGGTCACCAAACAATGCAGTCCGCCATTTTTTCCCCCTTTTCCTTAGCTGTGCTACTCCCTTTTATTCTATTGGCTTTTGAAAGCCAATAGAATAGACTCTCTTGAATAGAGTCTAATTCTATTGGCTTTCAAAAGCCAATAGGAATTGTCCAGGCTGTCTCTGCCCTGCTGAGCCCTTCAAAAGTTCCATTCTGCAAACGGTGCTGCAAGTTGTCTGCAGCGAAGGCGAGCTGTCTGGAAGCTTTCACCCCTCCCTGCTGAGCAACTACTAAAAACGTAAGTAAAAGAGGGCCAGGGGTGGGAGGTGGGAGGCCGGCGGGCGCAGGGAGGGTTGCTGGCGAGCGTGGGGCCCGGTGGATGCCTTACCTCCCTTGGGCTGGACCAGCTGGTGGCCCAGCCGGTGGTCAGCCTGCGCCATCTCTGCCGCTTGCCAGCTATGCCTCAACCGACGCAGGGGGCGGCACAACACATGTGCGGCGCTCCTGGGCAGGGAAAGTCCTCGACTTATGACTGGTTGGGTAGTCCTCGACTTACGACTGGTTGGGGTCGCGGCATTAAAGAGGTTGAGAACCACTGGTTTAAAAGGCTTACTAGATATGGATTGATTTATGGCTCAAGACAGTTAAATAAGATGTTAGATTGAATAAAAATTAAAGGTCTGAACTTAATAATAAGGTGTTTGTCTATGTATTAATATGTTTTGGATATAGTAACTTTGAGGAGGTTAAAGAAATGTGATATAGATATTGAGGGATTGATTGTTAGATTATAAAGTATAATAGAAATAGAAAGATATTTTTTTCACTTTTTTCTGTTTTGTTTTTGTTTTTTCTTCTTTGTTCTTTTTCTTTTCTGATATGAACTAATATATATTTTTTTTATATGTATTAGAACTGATAGTCACTTTTTAATGGAAGAAGAATAGGGAAAAAGAAGAATTGATATTAATAAATGTTTATTGAATATGTTAAGGAAAAAGATAATGGGGAGACTCCCGAAGTGTTAACTATGTACTTAGATTAGAAATGTGGAATATAGTAATTGAAATAGTAAGCTTCATACAGGATCTGGATTTGTGGATCTACCTAGATGAAAGGTTATTGAGGATTGATATGATTGATCTAGTTGTATTGAAATATATTAATTTGAGAAGGGTTTTTTTAATGATTTAATCTGAACTTTATGAGTATGACTTTGTTGTGTGGATAATTGATTGCCCTGCCACCACGTTGTTTCTTAAGCACTTGTCTGTAAAATGAAAAAAACAATAAAACTTGTTTAAAAAAAAGGAGTGTCTGTTTGAGATCTTTTCATAATCTTATGTGGACTCAGGTAATGTTTCCCTTTTCACTAGCTGGGTGACGAAAGAACGGTTGCTGGAATTGGGTAAGTCTAGTTTAATGAAGAGAAGGACGAGGGAGGACATGATAACCGTGTTCCAATAACTCAGGGGCTGCCACAAAGAAGAGGGAGTCAAGCTATTCTCCAAAGCACCCAAGGCAGGAAAAGAAGCAATGGATGGAAACTAACCAAGGAGAGAAGCAACCTAGAACTAAGGAGAAACTTCCTGACAGTTAGAATAATTAACCAGTGGAACAACCTGCCTCCAGAAGCAGTGAATGCTCCAACACTGGAAGTTTTTAAGAGACTGGACAGCCATTTGTCTGAAATGGTACAGGGTTTCCTGCCTGAGCAGGGGGGTGGACTAGATGACTATAACCAGGACTCACATAGGCTGGGACAGAACATAGGCTTAACCACTACACCAAACTGGCTGTTCAATCTTAATTAACATCTTCAATATACAATCTTAAATCTGAGCAATAATTTATTGTAAGAGCCCCATGAACAGAAGCACAGCTAAAATGGCCATGAATGTTTTCTGGACATCTACCTTTGTCAACACAATGCAATGAGAATGTTTTTGATCATCTCCATGGCCACTATCAAGTTAACAGTGGTCCTCACCCACCTTTGATGTCTTCACTCAGCCTCTTCACGCAGGAATTTTCACCTGCATTACAGGCCTGTAATGAGGCTGTGCAGGTTGTAGCATCCGCTTGACACTTTATACATTGGAAAGTTGCACCTGGAAGAGAAAAACACAGCGTAGGCTGTGAACCAGAGAAAACCAGCCGAAGACCACAAGCTTGATAACAGAAATGGGACCTTATAAGTCAGTGGTTCTCAACCTTTTTAACGCCGCGACCCCCAACCAGTCGTAAGTCGAGGACTACTCAACCGGTCGTAAGTTGAGGACTACTCAACTGGTGCACCACCGTTTGCAGAATGGGACTTTTGGCGGGCTCAGCAGGGCAGAGACAGCCTGGACAATTCCTATTGACTTTTGAAAGCCAATAGAATTAGACTCTATTCAAGAGAGTCTATTCTATTGGCTTTCAAAAGCCAATAGAATAAAAGGGAGTAGCACAGCTAAGGAAAAGGGGGAAAAAATGGCGGACTGCGTTGTTTGGCGACCCCCATGAAATGGTCGTTCGACCCTAAATGGGGTCCCGACCCACAGGTTGAGAACCACTGTTATAAGTGAATCAGACAGAAATTTATCTGCTTCTTTCTACCCACATTGCTTCCAATGTAACAAACGTGAATAAGTTTTGAAAATGCACATAGTAAAGGGGGGGGGGAAATCCCAGGGATGGAGAGGGGTGTGACTCATTGACTCCTTACCTGTTCTTAGAAGCACAGAGAAGAGGAAATATCCCAGAAGAATTTGCATGATGAAATAGGTGCCTTGGGCAAATATTCTTCTCTCACTGTCCTCAACAACCTGAAAATAATTTAAATTAAAAAAAAATTAAAAATATCTGTTTTTTAAAAAAAGGGGGGAGGTAAGGATATTTATGTTCTGATACTTTACACAAAATCAAATGTAACTTTAACCCCCTTCCTGCTCCACCCCACACTCAGAATCCAATGTCAGGTTTGTTGGGCCCAAACTCATTTACCCTGAGGTGGGCATGGAGCTTAGAAGAACTTCACCTCTGAATTTCCAAAGGAGCTTCTTTGGCCACCTGAAAAATACGAATCACCAAGTAATTCAGGCAAAACAAAAAAGCATTTATTAAGGGGAGGTCAAATCGTTTAAAATGCTGGTATAACTATTCTGGAACGTATGTAACCCTAACTAGAGACCAAGTATCAGTATGTTAGAATATCTGGCAGTTATTGGGTTAAATGCGAGGTATGTTGATGGGTCAGTGGGAGGAGTCCCAAAAGGTCATTAGGAGACTTGCTGGACACAAGCCAGAGGGGAATCCTTTGTTTGCCAACATGTGACACTTAGCAGGAAGAGAAGAGGGGAAAATTCAATATCAATTTACCTGTGGAATAACCAATATTGCAAACATACTTCTGGATGCATCTCTACATAAATGTGAGTTATTGTTTAGAATTCCCAAAATAAAGCAATATTTCTGTTTATTCTTCTGAGTTATCTATCTGTTTGGATTGGACGGAAAGCAGTCTGTTCAGTTTGGAATAGAATAGTAAATTGATATTGAATTTTCCCCTCTTCTCTTCCTGCTAAGTGTCACATGTTGGCAAACAAAGGATTCCCCCCTGGCTTGTGTCCAGGAAGTCTCCTAATGACCTTTTGGGACTCCTCCCACTGACCCATCAACATACTGTAAGGTTTTCCACTTAACTTCACAATTGGCCCAGCATTACTCAGGAATTTAAAAGAGCCAAAGAAACTCCTGAGCCGAGGTTTCACAAGCAAACAACTTTTATTTTGATCAAAACAGAGTTGGGTGACCCCATCTCTCTTTGTGGCTGGTAGAGAGATGAAGGCAACAACCAGAAAAGATGTTTTCCACATTTTATACCAGCGGTTCTCAACCTATGGGTCGCGAGCCCATTTGGGGTTGATCGACCATTTTACGGCAGTCGCCAAAGAAGGCGATCCGCCATTTCCCCCCCTCAGGGGGCGGCGCCGCGCATGTGCGCCGCACCGCGCATGCGCGGCACGTTTGTGTGACGGGGGTCGCCGTCACACAAACGTTGAGAACCACTGTTTTATACCTTTTCAGAACAAAGAACTTTTATGCCTTTTCAGAACAAAGAGATCAGGTCTTGGTACCAGGCATAAGATGGAACACACACAAAAAAAATTCCTAGATGATGACTCACACACAGCAACCCAGGCTCCATCCATAACTCCTTTCCCCCTCCCCTTACTGTGCTCTTTTCATATAAGCAATCACCTATACCTAAAGCATGAAGCCCTTACTTTTCCAATATATATATAAAGCATCTGATCAAGCAATTAACTACAAAATAATGATTACAAAATAACAAAACAATGATTACATGATAACACTATAATTATCAATATAAAATGGTTACTATATGTAAAATAAATGCTAATGTCAAACTTAAACATACTAAAATCATAAGCACAATAAAATCCCTTCAATACCTAGCATTTAACCCAATAACTGCCAGATATTCTAACATACTAATACCTTCTCTCTAGTTAGGGTTACATACGTTCCAGAATAATAACCATTATTTATATTTCGTGATTTCTAAACTATCCACCTCCCTCAAGGAGTGGCTCTGGGCAGCGTACAGTATAATATCAGCCTATAAAACAGTATATGAAATGAACATTAAAACATTAAAATTAACTCAGGATCAGAAGTTTAAAGTTATAACATTATGACAATTTCAAACAGGCAAAACATTTCCAAAAAGGCAATTTAGCCCTATTAAATTGAAACTCAACATTAAGAAAACCAAGATCAT